ATACCCACTGAAATGAAGGAAACCTCACTGCATCCATTTCCGCGCGGTTCCGTTTAGGGCGATGCGAGCGCCTTCACTGATTAACTGAGCAACTATTTAAACTCCCTGGAGATCAAATTGCATACCCACTGAAATGAAGGAAACCTCACCGCATCCATTTCCGCGCGGTTTCGTTTAAGGCGATGCAAGCGCCTTCACTGATCAACCGAGCAACTATTTAAACTCCCTGGAGATCAAATTGCATAACCATTGAATTGAAGGATATATCAGGGAATTCGGTTTGTCTGGAATCAAGCCTGTTTTTTAGTTTGAATGAGGGAAATACTCGAAGTGGCATTACGACGTGGCAACAGCGCCGTCCGGCAAGGAATGTAAAGGAGCTTGATGATGAACTTTCAGCCTCGGTTTCGGGTGACCGGGAGCCGAAACTCGCTTACCTACATTTCATTAGCAAAATATCCCTCCGTCGCGCGCGTGGCCTCTGACTTATTATTTTCTAACCCTCGTAAACGACGAGATCACGAGAAATCTTGCAAAAGTTCTCTTGCCCCGAGTTTATGGCGTCTGTTCTGTTGGATGCGTCGCATAACGAAGCGATAAAAGCGTGGATGGTATTTTCACTCGGAGATATGGACTGCATTTTGCAAAAAGGAACCAAGAGCATTCCAATGTTGCTAAGATTGTGCAACTTAACATTGCGACAGATTTCTATTTATTGTACAATAATTTTGATTGTACGGATATTTTGGACGTATTTATGCTAAAAGGAACTATGTGCAAGTGGAAAGATGAAATGTGCTAGCAGTGAGCTGGCTAAGAAACAATGTAAAAGTGGATATAGTTCCTTTTGAGATAATGGAGTAGCGGGATTTTCAATTAAATCAAAAGTAGCCGAGCGCCTACTCGTGAGCCGTGGACAGGTGACAAGAGTGTTGTGGACAGGGCTCATGAGTTAAGCCGGGCAAGAACGACAATGGAGACGGCTTCGTTGCCGCTGACGTCACTGGCGCTTTAAAATCCCCATTCAGTCTTAAGGCCCGAGCACTGACGAGCACACCTCCAGACCAAAAATGTCGATGTTTCCAAAATATTCATTTAAAGGTTAAAATTTGATATACATCAACAGTACCCAGAATGCATTGAGCAAAAGCTGAAGTTCCATCTCAACTCGGCAGTCCAAAAAGTGCATAAAAGCTGGCAACGTTTAGCACCTGATTTGCAGCTAATTGTAAGTTCATTCAGCTCACTGGCATGGCGTCTTCTGCCGCTAATACCGAATCCATCGTCAACAACGCTTACCGGTTTCACACGTCCAGCCTCAGCCCGAGAACTGACCGTCCTCAAGCTAAAAATACCTCACCCATTTCGCGCGAAATCGTTACCTCTTTAAAGCGGCTTTATTCTGTCCCCAGACAACACCACCTGCTTAAATGACCAGGAGTGGGTCACTGGACCGTGCTGCCACCGGGAAATTTCTCCTTGTTGATTTAATGACTCGATCAAAGGAAGGGCCTTGAAATATCGAATGGTCCTGACCCGAAACAACAATTCATGACATTTGTGCAATTATTCGATAAAAGGGCATCCAAGCCTTGCTTTGCTGCTGTGATTCGATGCATCCTTTGCGTAACCGAGTCGATTTGGGATAACTTTATAAAACTTTGTTCAAACATGTTTTTCTGGTAAAGTACCTCTAATGTTTATTGGATAGCAAAAAGGAACCACCGCGATTACAGTGTTGAAAAAATGTTGCTTCTTCATAATTATCTAAAATGTTTCGCAGAATAGAAAATATGTGTTGCTTTCCACCAAAAAACGTTTAATTTCATAGGAAAATAATTGTGTAAATTTTAATAGGTACATATATTGAGTATTTTTATAAGGAAAGAGGAAGTTGCACGATTTTGAAAACATTGTGGTCGCGCTGGTTCCTCATTGCAAAATGTGATCCAATTGAGAGTCAATCACTGTAGAATTTGGGATTTTGGTCGTGACGTCATAAAGGTTTCACGCCCTTCCATCGAAAAATGGCTCATATTTACATGGTCAAATAGATATCGAAGTTCCCGTGTTATTCTATTTTGAATTCTTTTATGAATTTGAAGAAAAAAATAATGCAAACCTAATGACATAACTTTTAAAGTCAACGTTAAAAAAGCCGTTACATCAGACTCTTTTCAATCGATTTAACGTTTAAGCCAATTTTCCTCGAAAACCTATTCTTTGTAGGTGCTGTGCTTTTCCTTAGCTGATGGGCAGTGTAATCAGTCACAGAATTAATAATGGATGTATACAATGTAACGGCAGTAAGTGATTTGCAGTGTCACTTGTCTACTCGCTGTAAGCACGTCTGGTGTATCAGATGGAAACATGTCATTTAAAACTCACGTCAATTAATACGGCAATTTCGTCCTCGTCGTTAACTCAACAAGTGTAATACTCACGTCTAGCAATGCATGTATCAAAAGCCTCATCTGACGTCTGCAGGGAAAGGAACTTTATGGCCACATTTATACTGACAAGCCTATATCAATTCTTTCCCTCAAAAGGCCTCGCTTAACAAATCTTTAGGAAAATTCAACAGAATTACTTTGGAAATAGACTCTTACAAGACCAGAGGACTGGACTAGGTGAGAAATCTTGCGGGCTGATTGTTGATACCCTGGTAAAAATTGGCGATAACAGCTGCGTTTCAAAATACCATAGGAATTCTTATAGCCGGCTAAGGAGGGCTGCAGAAAATCATATAGCTGGCTCTAGAATGCGGAGAAAATCATACAGCCGGGCTATACGAAGCGATAAAAATTATGGAGCCAAGGCTATAAGAAATTGTGTAGAAATTCGTGTGCTTTGGAAATCATTAAGTTTGATACGGAACCACCTTAATATCTACAAAACACACGTTATATTTTCCTTTAATACATATTTTTTTTTCATCAATTAAAGCGAAAGTAATCCATACAGGGTGTGCAAACATTTCAAAATCATGAGTTGAATAACGCTGACTCCGCCAGATTAAATATTAGAGCCTCATACAAAGCGGAGCGGCGACGCACTGGCGCCTACAAACCTAACAGGGATACTTCACGCATTGCGCAACGCGTGAAGTATCCCTGTTAGGTTTGTAGGCGCCAATGCGCGTTTCACGCTGGCTGCCCGCCTGTCGCACCGCATCGTGCTACGGCGCTTGAAGCAACTATTTCACACCAGAGGTATTGCACAGTATCATACGAAACTGAAGGCGCTCTAATATATTAGGAATGGCAGGCGTCCATCAAAAGTACGGAGCTTTTCTCGCAAAATAAATCAAGATACTACGGCCCGAAAAGAGAGCAGTGGGCCTAAAACTCACTAAGTCCTAGCATCCGTAATTAGTGACGTTTAGCATACACTTTATCGCCTGGCTTTGAAAAGGCTATAAGAAATTGTGCGTAGCCGGCTATAGAAGCTATTGGAAATCTTACAGCCGGCCGTAGGTCTATGTTATTTTGGAATACAGATTCTACTGCCAATTTTTACCAGGGTATTGATAGACAGAGCTATAGACAAAGGGGACAAAAGGGATATGGAGGGATCCTATTGGTGGAAGCAGGTGGCTGCAATGAACATAGGAGGTAGGTAATAGACTAACTAACGGCAACCCACGAGAGACCCTTAGTCCATTATTTAACCTCTTAGTCTATAAGAACCACCAATTTTAACCAATAGGATGGCTCCATACTCCTTTTGTCATCTTTGTCTATCGCTCTGTCTATAAAAGTCAACAATCAGCTTGCAGAGGTGCTTGAAAAGTCGCGAGCAAGGGAAAGACGTGATCAACAATCGAAAAAATATCCTGACGTCCGTTCATGGGAGACTCCCTATGAGTTTGTATTTTATTACATCATACATCTTTCAACCTGTCTTTTTAAATGTGTGACTAAGAGAGTGGTACATTAGCGCGGAATTACAAAAAAGGCAAATATATATAACGAAAAAACTTGAATCGGCCGAAATTACTCCATAAAAATCACCTATCTTTGACCGTTTTTAAGTTGCCAAGACCACAAGGAGCATAAATGTGGTACACTAGCCAGAGCCTTTGAGAAAAATCCCGATTTTCAATTCCTCGCCAATACCTCTGAATAGCAGCACTAAAAATGAAAGAGCACGAAAGAACAGGGCGAAATACACTTTATTCTTTTTTTCGAAGTGAATTCCGAGTGCTGGGTGTCATAAAAGTAGAACCGCATCATTATGGTTGGTAAATTAGTCTAATTGGTCATGCATTTCGAATTTACATACGAACTGGTCCTCTCAAAATTTATTGCCAGCAGAAAAAATTGGTGGATTTCCCAACTAGACCACTCTCAATTAGCGGAAAAACTGAGCGAATATCTAATCAAGTGGTATTCGAAGGACTTATGACATCATCGAAGGGTCTCACCGCACATCCACTTGCTCGCGCATCGCGCAAGTGCTCGAATTACCCGGGCCTCTTTTATGGTCTTCGCGTGCCGGAAACCACTCAGCAGGTGTGAGAATTTTTTTCGAAACTGACTTAAAAATAGAGCACGATTCAGCGATAGCGATTCTTTCAGTAACTGAAGCTTTCAATGAGATGGGAACGTGGGGGTCTCGATGACAAAGAAGCGCCTTCAGTTACCCAGCTATGCAAACTGCCCGACAGGAAAACACGAATAGTCGTATTTTTTTTTTTTTTTTTTTTTTTGACAAAATGCGTTATTGAAAAGTATGAGCATTTTTGTGTAGCTACCTATGAACGGACTTGTTGGCTTCTTTTTGAGATGTCTAAACGTCAAAAGGGATTGTCCCCCATTTCGGAATTTTTTTTTATTTATTTTTTTTATATTTTTATTTTTAAGGAATATGCATTTATACGTACAGAGAATGGTTAGGCCCGTTTCGATGAACCATTGACTCTGTTGTTGGTTCCTTTCTTCTGTATGCGATCCATTTAATATACCTAGGCGTGCATTGTTAAGAGATCTGACACTCACCAGCACAACTTCACCTTCGATAGACTTCTCTTTCGGTGGGAGGAACATTCTGTACAATGACTCGCAGAGAGACATGACTAGTCGAACCACGAGAACTACCAGCTCTATGCCTAAGATACATACGCCGGTGAAAGAGGGTGTCCATGATATCGAGCTGAAATGAAACAGAACAAATAATTTGATTTGATTCATTCCAACCATGATGGGTATTCCTTTAAAAGAGTGCTAAGTTCATTCGTAGACATTGGTGGGTCCAGCGAATTGGCAACATTGTTTTACTCTATTTAAACCTATGGAAATGTATCGATTCCTGGAGGGGCCAGGTGCTCCGACAAGAATAGATTATTTAACATAGGTTTAAATTAAGGGAGCCCGGTGTTGCCAAAGTGCTGGATCCGCTTCTGTTCCTGGAGAGACACGAGAGCATATAACAAGTGCCATGTAATTATCACCAAATCGCTTTTGTTTAAGCGAGCGAGGGTTTTGAAAATCAAAAAGTTCGGTCTCTACATTTCTTTAAATTTTGATGACTCGATTATAGTGAGCAACAATAATTTTGTCGAGATAAGGTGTGACTTTCGTGAGGTGCCATGGAGTAGGAGAAATTGAGTACGTTCATAATCTGACAATTAATGTAAAATTGAAATGTTAAATTTGACTCGCCGTAACTCGCTTTATTGAACTTATCACAAAATGAGGAAATCCTGCAAGACTAATTGGGTTGCATTTTTTCAAAAAGGAACCAAGAGCGTTTCCAATGTCGTTAACATTGTGCAACTTTTTTTTACTTTATTCCAATTTATAAAATGATCATCTAAACAAGTTTTATCTTTGCTCCCAATATTAATTACCCTTTTAAATTTAATTTGTTGCATTATCTCAGTAATCTTATTGCAAAGAATGTACCTAAGTTGCACAATCCTAACAACATTGGAATGCTCTTGGTTCCTTTTTGCAAAATGCAATCTAATTGTAAGACTATAACAAGTTACTAAAGTTCATCAACCGAATAAATGTGCAAATTGCTTTCCACATTACCTTCAGAAGTTCAACTTTTATAAGTAAAGTTCATCAACCGAATAAATGTGCAAATTGCTTTCCACATTACCTTCAGAAGTTCAACTTTTATAAGTAAAATTAAAGCTTATTTTTATAATTCAGAGTTGAAAAGTTTAGTTTTCCATGATACTCACTTGATATTGAATTTTTTCCTATGAGTAATGTGTTCTTTGTTTCCTATTTGATGGTTTTTGTTACTGGTGGTATGACTTGTGTTTCTTTTTGTAACTCCATTTATGGTCGTCATTTTCCTCTGTAACACACGATACACAAAAAGCATAATTAGTTGTTTATTCAATGCTGAGAGGTCTTCCTGACCTATTATTCATAAAGGCCTACATCTTTGAATAAGGTATAGGACTCTAAGGTCAATATGAGCACTCCTTACGTCACTGTTGAAACAAAAAGGACTGTCACAATAAAAGTCAAATGCATATTTACTTTTACCCTAGTAAAGTGCTGGTCACATCAAATCGTTCACAGGTTTACCCGACGCTAAAAATTATTTTAATGCTTTACGCTGCACTTGTATTGAGCTTTTAAAATCAATGAGAGGACCACATTTTTGCTTACTTTTTGGCCAGAAAGATGCTAAAAAAACCTGCCAAATTTTGTTTACGTTGTGAGACACTATCTTGTCCCACAAGATAAAATGGTTAAACTTATAATGAACCATAAAACTAGATACCATTTTCAATTTTTTAAATTTTATTCTTTAAAAATCATAAAAATGTCGATCAGCCCTGTTTTCTTATCGGAGGCGCTTCAGTTATATAATTTACCTAGGATATCCCCCCCCCCCTCAGGTATTCGCAGGTCAAGCGACAAGACGTCGAACTTAATTTACTCTCATAATTTTGAGCATACCTCGTGCAAAAGCTAAACCAACTTATAATATGCTTCACTAATTACAGTGCATTCCAAACTCACCGGAACGTTAACACTTTATTAATTACTTTGAATTACCGCAGCGCTCGTCACCTGCGATTGACTGTATGAATATGTAGGACCATTCTAAGTGCCGCATGCCGTATAATAGTCCAGTCTTAGGCGCTGTGCCACACCCCCAACTTCACGCTAATCAAACATCGGAATTTGCGTTTCTTTTATTTTAATCGTGAGATTCTGCGCAGAAAGAGCAATTTTCATGGAATTTTCCTCCGGCAATTAAACGAATCGTCGTTTTTAAATCTCAGGCATAAATAATCGTACTTAAATAATTGACCGGGTTAAAATATTATATTGCCGAAAAGTTGACCACGGAATAATTACATAAAAGTGTTTATATTATATAATGAAGAACTCAAACTGAATCATCTTTATTTTCTATTGTTAGAGTATTTTGATCTATTTTCTGATTATCATTTGACGTTTACACGGGTTGATAACAAGCGATTTTACTTGATGTGGAAAATATGAGGAGCATGAATGCTAATGACTGTGGATTTGAAGTCACATTTCCTTTCCTAGTAATCAGGACAACGCTACTTTAGTGGTAACAACTAACAATAGCTTTGTACAGAAAATAATGTCTATTGTTACCGGTACCAAAATACTTGTAAACACTTTATTACTGAGACTACTTCTAGGAAAGGAAAATTGACTTGAAATCTTGTAAAAACATAGTAGGATGAGTGATTATTTTGTCTTTATGGTCGACTCAAATTCATAAAAACCGTTGCACATAAAATGTTTCCCTAAACTAAATCCTTTTCTCTCATGTTCGTTTCAATTTTACTCCTCAATAGTACCCCGAAACATGGTACCTTGCAGAAATGTTTTTAAAACATTTCGGTTTAAGGAATACTGGAAATCTAAAACAAGGAGCATTTTGTGGCACGCTGCACTTCGTCAAGAGACACTTTTAACCTGCTTTCGAAAACAAAGAGCAACGGGCTCATCGCAAGCATTGTCACGCCACGAACTATCCAAGTGAAATCGACCCGAGCTTATCTAGATCCGCGCATTCTTTGAGGAAGATATCCGTCAGATTTTACTTTGAAAGTCTGGAAGATTAACGTGAATCTTCAGCGGTGCGATGAAAAAATTTTCCTCACATGCAGGGGGCGCTTCCGCTGCTTGGAGAAAAATTTTCAGAGTGCATAAAAGAACTTCCCGCTAATAATAATATCCTCATAGAATTTCTTTTCGATACATCCGAAGACAACGGCAATTCCGGTTGTTTCAAAAAGAAATTCGATGAAAATACTATTGACGGAAAAGTTTTTCCTCGTGGAACTGAACTGAAGACGAGGGTACCCTTGGTTCATAAATTGAACAATTATTGGAGAAGACATGATAAAATGATCTAATCTGCTAAAATGTATGTGTTTAAATGGGAAATGCCGCCAAATGACATCACTAGGCAATGCATTTTCCCACTTTTGAATCTATCTTTATACTGTTTTCTGTATCAGAAAAAAATTATGAAAAATACTGTGAAATCAGCTCTTCAAGCACTTTCAGAGGAAACAATAAAAAATGTGCATGCAAATTTTCCATTGTCAGGGAATTTCACCAAAATGTGTCACGGAAATCGTGGAAATTCATTTTTCAACACGGAAAAAACGTTATAGTGCTGAGCACTAACTGTTTAGATCAAATAGAGCCAGCTAGTATGGCAGTAGCGCTGAGCCCTGAAACTGTAGGGTCCATCCCTACGTACTGTAGGTCTCAGCGCAACTGCCTTACTAGCTGGCTCCATTTGATCTAAACAGTTAGTGCTCAGCACTACATCGTTTTTTCCGTGAAATTCTGTGGCAACCCTGAACCACTACGGAAGCGTTCTACTTTCACTGTGTGCATCGATTATCCGGCCGATGAGTTCGAAAAACTCCCAAGTTTGACAACCGCGGAATTTTGCTCGATGCGAGCGATGAACGGATCCGTTGTGTGGAGTCATCGATCATGCGAGCTAGCGGCGAGAGTGAGGTTAAACGAGTTCCCTTTGTCGAGAGCAATGCAAAGACGTTACGACGGCCGACGTCTCACAGACTCCGTTTCATCGCGGGTAATCTATGCCTCCCGGCTGCCAATTCCTCCGTTTAACCTCATCAGAGGGAGCAAATACCCGATCGAACGCCGTGAATGCAAATCCAGGCTCCGTTTCCGACGCATACGTACTCGAAATAACTACCTTGCGCATGCGCAGTCGAATCGACTTCTTCGGCTGAAGTGAAAGGCGCAGAAATGGACTCGTGGTAGTTGAGTTTTGACAGGCTGGTAAATGCTTCAGCCATGGATACATTCAGTGTGACGTCATAGAAGCGCGCGCAGTCAATAAGTTTTGGTCAACGATGTTCTCATTGACTGCACTGTCGTGCTAAAGAAGAATGCTGTGCGAGTCTTCAGACGTTACCGAATCTCCCAAGATAAAAAACGAATTTCCAGGAAAACCAACGCCCTCTCCATAGGAGCGCGGTTCAAGGAACTTCGGGCGAACTTGTTCGAGGCGCTTGTTATAGCTCAACTGTGCTGGTTCCTGAAACCCAAAATTCGTGGAACCAATTCGTTCGAACCTCAGACTGAATTGAAATTGATAGACACAGCGATTATGGAGCGATACTATACTGGCGGTTCTTACAGACAAAAAATAAAAAGATATGATAAATATAATAAATGATGATGATAGATAAAATGATGGACTAACTGTCGAGTCTGTTCGGTTGCTTTTCTCTTTTGACAACGCAGCGTAGATGAATTTTTATCGATAGTTAAGTTGAAAAGAACGTACCATAATTTGCAGCGTAGCGCATCCTCGATGCTATTATTTAGGAAAAGGGAACATATTAAGAGAGGATAACATTATGTCGAAGCTGGCCTAAGAGAGCGTGAAGCGCCCTCTGGGGTTTGGGCCGCGTAGCGGCCAGGGGGCATAGCCCCCCAGTAATTTTTATCCCGGCATTACTTTCAAGAAAGCTCTGTGCGTCAATCAAATAATAAACCGAACTCCAAGACCATAAACTGCCATAAGTTTTTTTTTTTTTTTTTTTTTTTTTTTTTTTTACAATAATAAGGTCGTATGGATTAGCATGGCTCATCAAATTTTGACATAAAAAAAAAAAAAAAACTATCAGGAGACATTAGATGATATGAGATCAAAGCAGTGATGGTGTATCACGATTCGTTTCTTCCGGTGGCTCTAAAAAATCTGCGGCGAAGTTACGACTGTTAAATTCGTTGAAGCGAGTATTTTGTAGCAGCTTCACTTCCAAAGGCCTTGAGGCGATTTGCGCTTTACGGAATGTACGTGGAGTATCGATATCCGGATAATTTAGAGCGGTTGATGACATGAATGTTGGCGTACTTCCGGTACCGGTAACAATTTAATTAGGACAACAAATCCGAAATTGAAGAGGTAAAACCTTCTTGTTCCATGATGTTTTAATGGGTGTTTAAACTTATGTCGGTGAGGGAAATATGAGCGAATATTAAAAATATGTATTGATAGAGAAAGAAAAAAAAGGAAAAAGTTCGCTCATTCCATCGCTCCAGCTTTAGTGACGAATATTTTGAATACTGTTGAAATGTTACTCTCTTTTTTCGACAGTCTTCGGTCTGAATTCACGCAACGAAAAAACGTTAAATATCTCATTTATGAATTATTTTAAGCAATTTTCGTTGCCAAAACCGTGTTCCACGTTGAATTTCAATTGGGAGACTTGTATCAGAATGCTTTAACTTTTGCCTTGTCCACTGGGCCATCGGGATGTTCTTTGGAGACTTAAACGCTAGGGTAAGAAAGCAAACGACCGCTTTGGTACAATGAGAGACAATGCTGGGGATGCTGAGAGGGATAAAACCTTCAGTTGTACTTTTCAACACTATTTATATCCTTTCCCAGCATTGTCTCTCATTGTACCAAAGAGGTCGTTTACTTTCTTACCCTAGCATTTAAGTCTCCAAAGAACATACCGATGGCCCAGTGTATGGATAAGGCAAAAGTTAAAGCAATTTGATACAAGTCTTTCAATTGGAATTCAACGTGGAACACGATTTAGACAACAAAAATCGGTTAAAATAACTTATAACTGTTGAAAAGTACCTTTTAAGTAGTAAAACCTGCCAGCTCTTAACCAAAAGTCTCGTCACCGTGCAACTTTGCAAAGGTCGGGTGAAACAAGAAGATCAAATGGACGTATTGCCAAACGAAACTATGTGAATTAAGACATGAGCCCTGACACCCATAAAAATGTGTGTATAACAGGGCTCACGTCATGATGCACTTAGTTCCGTTTGATAGAAATACATCCA